GGAGGGGGAACGGGGGCGCTCTTAAGTTTAGCTGTATGCCTTTTTTGTGTAGTCTGGTCAAATAAAAAGCCTTAAATTAAATGAAAAATATGAGATACCGCATCAAAACTTATCTTCCACTATAACGCTGCCGTGGTAATTTTTCTGCGGTGTCAGAACGTTTTCTGAGTTCCAGCCACCGCACACGAACAGGGTCCGGTTCGCAGCCCTTTGCTATCTGTCTATCCCTGCATCCCTGCCCAATAGAATCTGTGCAGGGCAGGTCTATTGTAGCGGGACTTCTAGTCCTGTAATATGTATTTGAATAATAGTCGGAAGTTCCCTCGGCTCATACTATTTCTCTACTTCTGATGTTCTGATTTGGCATTAGCACTACACCTGTGTACACGAAAGGTCGTGACGTCACGCGCAAAAGAAAGTACGAAGTACTTACAAAGGGGTAAAGGACGCCAATGTGACTTGACGCACGCCGGCTCGTACCCAATGAGGAGTTCAAGCTGATTTGACATCGAAGTGGTCTCCCATTCTGACATCTTCCTGCACTCATTCTGGTGCCATTGTGACCAATATTTGACTTATGACGTCATATTGTGTTTTGAAGATGGTAAGTTCGACTCCCCTCCCTCCGTACTCCCACTCCCCCTTACCCTTCCCCGCTGACTGGAATCGGGGAATCCGACTTGACGACAGAGGCTTACAGAGAGGGCTGGCGCGGTGGGGCCAGTGGACTAGAACCACTAGTCGACCTGGTTCTGTGTGAATGTAACTCACGCTCTAGTTCTACAAGGACATCGAATCTTAGTGGATCATCGAACTTGTTCAATAGTAAGTCTATTTCTTCGGAAATGACCGGGCATACAGCATCCCTTGCTTCTGAAGGACAGAAGAGGCCTTTCATATGTACGGAGACTGTTTACGACGAGATCCCTTCGAAAATGAAGAAAGATGATGAAAGTGAGTGGCATTTAAGATTCTGTCTATCGAATGTTCTGTTAACTTCGCGTTGAAATGAACGTGTGCCCTTTGGCATAGGTCAAAGGTTCGCAAATTCACATATGGTGGATGACCAATGACCACGTATTTTGTCAACGTTGGAATAAGTCCCTCATTTGAACGCGTATCTGACTTATCTTGTCGTTGTGACTTATATTATTTGAAACGTCACAATATTAAGTCAGTTATGTCAATTTTAGACATGCGTCTAGGACATGTCACTGGGCCGGGAATCCCCGTAGGCTAGAGTGGATCTGGCATATATTTCGCGAGGGGTCAGAGGGTTGAAAGGTTTCAACAATAGTAACAATTTTTTTAATCATTATTGGCATGCAACAACGCAACAGTAAGTAAATTATGGTTTATTCGGGGTTGCGTCATCTATTTCTTGCCGTCGTCTCCAAAATGTATACTGTTGGACGAATATCGCGAGTGCTCTTATTCGCAGTCTCCCCTGTTGACATTAAACAGCAAGCGTCTGCTTCTGCTACAGCTACAGCTTGGCCAGCTTGGCTACAGGCTTTCTGCTTTCTCTCAGGTGTAATTTTTGGAAGGTCTTTAAAGACCATTAAATCTTGCCTACCTTGAAACAGTGAACAAATTTGCTTGCCTTTACCTTCACCTTTCATCAATTATGTTCAAATTTTAATTCAGGTTACTTTTTTAATATTTTTTTTGTACTTGTAGCAAGAATGGCCTGCAATCAAACCGCTGTCGCTGTTCTTCAAGAGCTCTGTATGAAGAGGAGGTGGAATCCTCCAATTTATGATACTGTTGATGCTGGTGGTCCCCCTAATGACCCTATATTCGAAGTCGCTGTTACTCTCTGCAACGGAATTAAAGGTTAGCAGGAGTACTTTTTTCTCTTGTTTGACGGAAGTTAAAGTTACTGTTGATATGAATCAGGAGAATGTACATGAATTTTTGACTATTTATTTCAGGTGTGGGTCGAGGGCGGACAAAGAAAGCTGCAAAACATGAGGCAGCTAAGAAGGCACTAGAGCAAATACAGGAAAGGGCACTGCCTGATGTAAACATAAATCTTTCACCCAATAAACCACCGTAAGTCCTTGCTAGTTGCAGTGACAAATCTTTGTTTCATATACTTCAAACTCGCTAATAACTCTTCTAGGATCAACCCCCATGAGGATGTTGGTGGTGCGAATCCTGTTGGAGAACTCCAAAACCTCTGCTCTGCAAAGCACCTTCCAGCTCCAGTCTACGATGTAATTGGTGATGAAGGTGAACCGCATGAAAAACTTTTCACCTACAAGTGTACAGTTTCTCAAAGGAGTGCACAAGGTAATTAGATTAAAAGCTAATAAAAATATCCTAAATGTTTGGCTCCTACATGTACAGTTTTTAATGTAGAGTCCATCAAAGCACCCCTATTTTTGACCAGATTTAGTCTTGAACATGCTAATATGACGTCCTTGTGACATTGTGCTGTTTTTCGCAAGTTTAAAAAGTGTGTCTGCTATTGTTTGCCATATTTTTATCATGCAATTGTTAATTTGTCTAGGGACTGCTCGCAAGAAACAAACAGCTAAACATCTTTCTGCTCAAAATATGTTAGCAATGCTAAAGTCAGACATGAAAGTTATTCTTGATGAGATTCCTGATGATCCTGCGGTCTCCTCTCTGGTAACTACATTGGATAAAATTCCTCCATATTTAATTTCAATTTTAGAATTTTTGCATGGTTTAGTTCAGAGTTGATAATTTTTAACTTTATGGAATGGTTTAGTATTCGCAGAAATCCAAGGAAACAACAGTTTTGGAGAAAGATAAGAAGAGAGATTTAGAGGCTCTGGAAAAGTATAAGGCATTGAAGGATAGCAAAGGAGACATTCCTGCTGCACCTTTAATAAGCCCAGGAACAAAATTTTCAGATTATCATCTTGCATATGCCTCTCAATTAGGAGAGTTTAGGGATATAATTGTAGGTATTTTATTCAAAATGCTTGCACCTAACACCTGATAAATATAGAGTTAAATGAGTGAAAATTATCTCCATGTTACAGGAGAAACCGGGGATAAAGCAAGAGCGTAACTCTTTAAAAAAACTGAAGCTGGTTGCTGCAGAGTTAAATTTTCCTCTCAACATAATGTCAAATCCTGGGAAAGACAATAAAAGTAAGTGCATTGTTTATTGTTGCACTATGATGTCAGCAATCTTCCCATTTTTTCTGACTTTTTTTTTGTTTTGTTCAGGATATGTTGCGTTTGTCCATTTAGCCACTGATCCCCCAACAATTACAGCAGCCCAGAATGAAAATGAGATCACAGCGACAGAGATGGCTGCTCGTAATTGCCTAGACTTTCTCTCTGTAATGTCAACTACATAATGTGCTGCAGCTCAACTGTGCTTTTTGAAGAATGTCATATATTTCGTTCTGTATTTTAATACTTTAAACTGATGTTTTTTTACTTGCTGAAGCATTGCAGTTGTGTTATTACTCCATGATGTTACGCAAAATACCATCTGGATGTTTTATGTTTTTCTTTCTTTTTTTGTTGTTTCTTTTTTATGTTTACTTGCATGTTCGTTTGTTAATTTATTACTGTGATAATAAGTTAATCAGTTAAATTTTAATAAAATGATTTAAATGTACTGTACTACGAACTCTTTTCTTTTTTGAACTTTGGCGCAATTTTGTGTCCCTGGTATGAAAAATTTTCTATCACCCTCCCTACAGCTGCTACAGCTTCTGCTGGCTGTTGCCAAGGAAGGACAATTTCAGATTCAGATGTCTAAAGATGAAGGCATGTTACCTGGACAAGGCCAGAATGAAAGAGCATTTCTTGAATTACTTGGAGAGGGAAAAACAAATAGTTCAGAGAAACGGTGGGGTGGAATGGTGGTTGCTGGCATAACAGGTAAAAAATGATACAGGCAACTGTGATCATACTATTTAGGTTATGGTGAAGTAAGTCAATTTATCTGATTCCTCTAGTTATATTTTGCACTGCAACTTCTTTGTATCACAGGTGGAGCTGCGTTAGCACTCTCAGTTATATGTCTTCCTTTTGTATCTCCTGCTTTAAGGAGGATATGTTTGCCTTACGTACCTGCAACAACATCGCAAGTTGATAATGTTTTGAAAGCCTTGGGTGGTAGATCTGGACGAATAGTTGATTTGGGTAGTGGTGATGGTAGAATTGTGAGTATTCAGTTTAAAATCAGATCCTCTGAGAATTTGATTTGAAATAATATGACATAATTTGGTCTTGTTCCTAAGGTTCTATCTGCTGCGCAAGCAGGGTTTTCTCCTGCTGAAGGTGTAGAATTAAATCCATGGCTTGTTCTGTACTCAAAAATTCAAGCTTTTAAAAATGGTCTTACAACACAAACAGCCTTTCATAGAAAAGATTTGTGGAAATTTAGTCTGAAGCCTTATCCCAACATAGTGATATTTGGAGTTGAAGAAATGGTGAATTTCTTTAAAATACATTTCCTGGATCATTTCCATATAATCTAAGGATATTAATAGCATTTTTTTTTCAATTTCAGATGGAAGAGCTAGAGTTGAAATTGAAAAAAGAAGTTGAAGACGGCACACACATTGTTGCTTGTCGTTTTCCATTGCCATCTTTGAAACCAGTGGCAACAATAGGTTCTGGGCTAGATACAGTATGGCTGTATAAGCACAAATTAAACTAAAGAAACATTATCCACATCAGGGTTTACATGTTACTTTACTATTTCCACATGTATGTTTTGTTTGTATGCCCTATTATTATTTTGAATGAGTGCATGAATGAATGAATGAATGAATGAATAAATGAGTAAATGTAAAGGAGATGATGTACTAAAGACTTGACAACTGCTATCCTGTGAAACACTTCATTGAAAAAATGTATAGAAAGACAAGGAAATAGCTTAATCCATTCCTATTTTTGAGCAAAGTTGTCAGCCCAAAGATGAAAAACAGTATCAAACCTTATCAAATTTGGCACATTGCATAACATGAAATTGAGCAAATATTTTTCATCAATAGCGGCCTCGGGCCATTTTTCTCTCCATTTTACGCTGCTTCTTTGGATCCGTTTGGGGGTCTTCTGGGGCCGGCTGGAAGAACCATGGCCCTAAAATATTCTTCCACAACATCCAGAATCCTCTAGCTGGAGCCTGCACAAATTTAAGAACATTAGAATCCATTTTATTGATTACTTTCTTGAAGTTAAATAGAAGTGCTACATTGTCTTACCAGTGCCAAAAGCCACCAGAAGTAGTTGGAGAACAACGAGAGCAACTGGGAAATAGATGCTAAAATGATGAGGTCCTTTACATGCCTAGGAAAAGAAACGTTGGTCATGAATTCTTTGTACGGAATGTCTATCACATGCTTGGATTAACATTTGACATGACATCCACTATACTCACTCTGCTATTCCACCTTCCATATTTAGATCAACCCCACTATCAAATAGCTGGCCAGAATCTGAATATTTAGCCTTAGCCATGTAGACCATAAACTGATAACTCCCAACATAAATTAATGCAGAAATTATGAGCATAACCTGTTGAGTATAATTCATTTAATTAAAAAAACTGATGAGTGCATGCTTCTTGAAGTACAGACTGACAATCAATTAAAATAAATTAGCATAAGTATTTAGAAAGAATGAAGGGCTAGAGGAAGAGTTAAGATAAAAAAAATACAAAGCCTAGTTATAGTTCTGCAATACTTACTATATTGATTGTAGTGAAGAGGTCAAAAAGAACACACGTTACGGACAAAAAGACTGCATTGGAAATGAATACCATATTACGGTAAAAGCTTAGCGTTTGTTGGTTTTCCTCAACAATCTGCTTAATACCTTTTGTTCCTTGTTTACCTTTCTGTTGTTTTTGCTGAAATAAAAGAGGAGGAGAAACATTATTTGAAATGATATATATGTGCTGGCATAACCTAGCAGATGTAAACAAAACTGGGTATGAATGAAAATCAGAAGAAAAAAAACTGTCAAAGTTTGAAAAATATGGCTGTGTATCAACAAAAACAACTGGGGGAACAGAGAATGACTGCTCTGAAAGAAAATGACAGCTCTAAAATAGTAATGGCATTTTGAGGTAAAGCCGGATGATAACGGGGAAACTTGCAAATATAACTAAAAGACGAAGCAATCTCTTTACTTACCGACATGTTGATGAAATGAATTAAATACCCGTAAAGAAGATAGGAGACACGGAAAACACTTTCAGTTATCGTATGGAAAGAGAGAGAATGAAACTGTACAAAACAAACGTTCCACACTGTCAACAGCCAGCTGCTGCAGCAGACGACTGCATGACGCGTCTAGTCATGGCGGCCACGTTGGAGCAGTATTGACAACAGTTAGCAAACAACCAGAAATTTCCCTTCCACGAGCAAAATAATGTTAGCAGTAAAAATATCTACCTCAGGTATTTTAGGACCGTCATCGTCACGGTTTTGGAAAATATCGACTAAAACTTTTTTTTTAACAAAACTGCAAAATTTTCGCATATTTTCCTTCCCTTACGCAAACACATCCCTTGCTGCGTGACCACTATGTGGACACGCTCCCATATGGAATCATAGACACAAAAAATGAGCCGCATAGGAACGTGTTAAAACGTGGACCACGGACTTTGGCCACGAGCGCATACGCAAACAGCAAACGACCACCAGCACCGCTTAAAGAAAGAACACGTTGGGGCTTCCCCGTTGCTTTATGACGGCACTGTGCTCTCCGTTACGCACTTCATTGTCAGCCCGGAACAATCGTCATTCATCTGTTACCTAGCTACAAGGGCTACAAGCCCGCACAGCTACTGCCATGCCATTGCCCGTCCGTGTAAAAATTCGCAGTCTTTTTTTAATAACAAGTGAACCTGACATTCCCCCCAACCTCACGAAATATGGAACATCTCGGATGACGACGCTCTAACAATTTCTCACCGTAAGTGTTTCCTGCTACCAGGTGGCTTCGACATAGCACGAACTGAGGTCGTCCGAGGGAACTCCCACTTGTAAACAAAGCTCATTCTTCTGAGTCGCGTCATATCGAAAGTAATTTAATAAAAAATGAGAAAATTGCTCGACACTGCACAGTTGCTTGTCGAATTTATCCTGGGCCAGCCACCATGTAAAGCTTAATTCCAATAGCTGCATGCTTGCTTCTGGGGGGAGGAGTACAAGTGCATCTCAGTTGTCCAAAACTACACTAATTCCACGGTATTATGATTTCGACTGATGATAAAAAGAAAACAGCTGGGCACATTTCACGGTGTCTACTCAGACCAAAACAAATGAAGTATTCTTCATCCCCGGTGGAACACTGACTCGCACTTCTGCTCTCCTCTTCCAGACGGGGAAGGGGCCTGCCCCGTCGGGTGCGTGGGGCCACATGGAGCCCCGCCGGTCGCTAGCGTGTCTTGGTCCCCCCTGGCCACTAGGGCCCCCTAGAGCCCCCCCAGGCCCCTAGGGCCGCCACCGCCGCCAGCCCTGGCACCGTCGCAGGCGGCCGCCGCCGCCCCCGCGCTCCGCCCACATGAGCGCCAAGCTCAGCCCCCGGAACTCGGAAGTGAAGGCGCTGGAGCAGCGCGGGTACTACATCGGACGGAAGGTTGGCCAGGGTTCGTACGCCATCGTGCACGCCGCCGACTTCTGCGACGGGTCCGAAAAGCGCATGCGGCTCGCCTGCAAGATCTTCGACAAGGACAAGGCGCCACGTGACTTCCTCGACAAGTTCTTCCCGCGCGAGCTCGAGATCCTCACCAAGATCGAGAACCCGCACATCATCCAGGTGCACAGCATCCTGCAGCGCGGGCCGCGCGTCTTCA